TCTAATTCTATTTCGTGTCTCAGTTCTGCGAGCTCATGTTTTATTTCCTTTTGTTATCTTTCTATACCTCCTTGAAGAATGTATATACCTTCTTACATCTCTGATTTGAATTCATCTTCCACGGGGGCAAATTCTTTATATGTTTATTTATTTAATGTGACATGTTTGGTCACAATCTTCATGGGTCTGTTGTAAAATTTTTCTGGTTACTATTCCTTACTCACCATTTGTTCTTGTTTTTCTCTCCCCTTTTTTCTTATAGTGCCATTGTACAGATCTTGTGCTAGTTCCTTCTTGATTATTAGTCATTTCTGAACTGCAAGTTCTTACTATACCAGCTACTTTCAAGAAGTTCACGTGGGGAGAGACCAGGGACATAATTCAGGCTGGCAAGAATTTTCCTTAGAGGGCTGGCTGGTTAGCTCACTTGGTTAGAGCATGGTGTTGTAACAACAAGGTCAAAGGTTCATATCTCCATACCGGCCAGCCCCCAAAAACACACAAAAAGAATTTTCCTTATGACACAGGGTGGTTTATAAGAATGAGCTCTTTAGTTTTTCCCTCATTTCAGTTAACAGAGATTGACAGCTTCGGGGTTGCTCAAAATGCCAGTTGTCTCTCTTTATTGCTGTCCTCTTAAATTCCACTTTCTACAAATATGGCTTGTTTCTCTGATTACTCCTTTTAGCCTGCCTAGCTTGCTTTTCCTTCATACCAGAATGTAGTATCTGGGAAAGCTTCTGCTTCTACTCCTCATACCCATTCCCTAATCAAAGGATTGTTGGTTTTGCCCCTCAGAATATGGTAGCAACTTAGGAGAACTATGCCTTCCAGTGTTATCTGAAATCTGCAGCTCTGAGAGTACTCTCTCATCATCTTTCTGTACTCCCTTGGGTCTCACTGGATTTGGCAGCTCTTCAGATTACAGACATCTCTTAGTTTCTTCAAAGATGTAATTTGAGTATTGTTCATCCTCCCTAATTGCTCTGAGGTAATTCCAAGAAAAGAAAGAACTGACATCTTTATACTGCCACTTTAAAGTGAGAATTTAAGTAAGCAAACTTAAACTACACAATTAGAAACAAACAATCTAACTATCCAAAATTGGGGAGCATGAAAATAGTGAAATAACTAAGTATAAAAACTTCAAAAATATTAAAGCATATAACCATAATTATTTACATAATAGTTGTGAAAGTTTTTTGAAAATATATAACCATATGATGGAAAAAGCATATGATGTAACATCAGATAAAGCAGACTGTTAAAACTATACTGGCATCATAAATAAATAAAATGTACATGTATTAGGATGAAGAATGGAAGGGAAAAATGTTTTTTGTTAAAGGTAAGGAGTATTGGGTAATGTTTTTCATTTAAAAATTTTTGTTACTGTGACAGTATAGTTTGTGCAATAATAAAAACAGAATATTGTTCAAAAAATAAAAAAAATCCAGACCATAAAGATTTTCACTACAGCATCTACTAAATGCAAATCATTAAAAATGCACTGACTGTCTCTCCTACTTGCCAGTACTAACTATATCCCATCCATGAAGGCAAGCTCTGGAAGTTGCATTCTTCTGTTCTAGTTCCAATGCAGACCTCTCACAGCAGCCAGCCACCTCTCCTTCTCTGCTTACTCCATTTCACTCAACTCCAGAGGGAGACTCTACTCCAAAGAGACCATTATTTACTTAGCACTGATGAGTCAGGCACCATCAGGGCAGCAAGTAGGCTTTCTTCTTTTGGTTTGTCTTGTTTATAATAAAGGGCCAACAAATTTAAAGGACAATTTAAAATGTTTGGGCTCTGGAGACAGCCAGATAAATAAAATATGTATAAAATAAACTTAAAACCGTGCCAAGCAAACAGCAGACATTCAATAAAGTGTATTTTTTAAAAATCACGAATACTTTCTTTTTTTTTTTTTTTGTCTTTTTTCCGTGTCCGGCAACGGATCGCAACCCTCAGTGTTCCCCCCGTACCGGACCGGGGACCGGCAACGGGATCGCAAGCCTCGGTGTTGCTCCCGCGCCTCGCTCAGCCAGTGAGCGGGAACCGGTCTGTATATGGGATCCGAACCCTCGGACGGGAGCGCCGCCGCGCTTCCCAAGCGGCGCACTATCCAGTGCGCCACCGGGCCGGCCCCTGAAATCACGAATACTTTCAATTTCCTAGCAAGGGAAATATAACACAATGGTTCAGACAGTAGGAGAATAACTTTTTACTTTAAAAAAAATGCTGGGAAAGGATACTACATACAGATTTTCTATGACCATTTAAAACTAGTATCTTTTCCTTCAACTTTCAAGTTGCTGTTTCAGGGTTCCCAACTTTTCAAATACTAACATAGCAATGAAGTTTGAAAAAATCATTTTGAATGCCTAAACTCAATATATGACTTGTCTATTTTATAAGCAATGTTTTTACTATCTGAATAATTACAATTCAAAGTATTTAAAATAGAAATCAAAGTATTTTCATTAAAAACTAGCCTAACATTTTGATGGGAATAAGTTAAAACCCACAAATAAAATATGAAAATGGATTTACTCTTCTCAAATATTCCTTAATCCCCCAACATAAAAATGGTGTAAGGCTGGCTGGTTATCTCAGTCGGTAAGAGTGCAACTTTATAACACTAAGGTCATGGGTTTGAGTCCCCGTTCCAGCCAGCCACAAGGAAAAACAAAACAAAACAAAAATGGTGTAAATCATAGGAATAAATTTATAAAAGCATATATACTCTGAAAATAGTTTATTCCATTGGCTAAGTAAAGTCTTTGATCAGTAATGGTTATAATTTTCAACTGTTTGATAGAAAATGTATACACATTTTAAAATTAAAGTTCAAACTGATTAAAATTAAATAAAAAGAAAAATTTGGTTCCTGAGTTGCACTAGCTACATTTCAAGTATTCAATAGCTACATGTGGCTACTGGCTACTGAACTCGACAGTGCAGATATAGAACATTTCCTTCATTCCAGAGAGTTCTACTGAACAGTGCTGATCTAGATAATCTAAGCAGAAAAATAAACCAAATGCCTGTGCAGAGGTGTCATTAGGTTTGAGAAATGGTTACAACATCAGAGGATTCCTCTTCTGATACAGAAAAAAAAAGTCCATGGTATGAGATACTGCTTGAATAAAGAGGAAAAAATGCAGAAAGATTCTGACCTCAGTTGTAAGTTTCAGGGGATAGGGGTGGTAGGTGGGGTGAAACCTGTTAGAGGTTGTGCCAGTTTTATAGCTTCCCAGATGGTAGCTGAGGCACAGACAGAAACTGGCCTAGGTTCTCTTTCTTTTCTCATTCTACACTCTCCTGTAACAATCTAGCCCACACACCTACGAGACGGTAATGTGAAAATGCTCATTTCCAACACAGATGGAACTCCTGCCTTCAGATCCATAAATCCAGCTTCCTTTACTCCACATCTCTACTTGAACTGCTTTGAAAATGCCTTATGACACAGCCAAGCCTAACTCACCATTTCCTCCTGTATAGTAAAGAATTTGGCTGGCCTCTGTCCCTGGTTCCTAGGAAGTAATCGCTATGCCTTAGGGTTAACGAATTTGGCTTTGCTTTGTCCCCAATTCTTGGGAGGTAGTTTCTAAATCCTTGGAATTTCTAAGTGGTAAGTGTTTTTTGTTATCTATGGTGGGTTCCTCAGGCCACATCTTACAGTTTGTGCTAACAGTTGACTCAGGGAAGGCCCTAGTTTCTCCTAATGATCTGACTCGGGATTGGGGCTGGTCATGCCACAAAGCCCAACCATGTGACTAGAGGGTTGAAGCTCTGAGCCATGTGGTATAAGCCCAACCTCTGGGGAGTGAAGGAGGGCTGCAGATTAAGTTCAACTTTGTGACCAATGATTTAATCAGCCATGCCTATATCACAAAACCCCAGTAAAAATTCTGAACACCTCTGGTGCTTCCTCGGTTGGCAATTCTCCTCATATTGTCACACACTGATGTGCCAGGAAGGTAACGTGGCCTGACTCCATGGGAAAAAGAAAACAATGGAAGCTTCGCATTTGGGACCTTCCCAGACTTTGGCTGATGCATCTCTCCCTTTGGCTGGTTCTGATTTGCATTCTTTTGCGATAATAAAACTGAAACCATAAGTATAGCATTTTCCTGAGTTCTGAGTTGTTCTAGTGAATTATTAAACCTAAGCAGGTAGTGGGAACCTCAGAATTTGTAGCCAGCTGGTCAAAAGTGAGGGTCACCTGGGGACCCCCAACTTTGTAACTGGTATCTGAAGTGAGCACAGTTTTATGGAGGACTGTGCCCTCAAGCTGTAAAATTTGGCCTAACTCTGGGTAGTTGGTGTCAGAAGTCACTGAACCCTCCGTATCTACTCCTCCCACAGTACTTATTGTCATAGTGAAAGGCAGGACTGTCCATTTATCCAGATGCTTGTGGGACAAAGCAGATCGTTACTGATGATTCCTTCCTCTCAACTGCCTTCCACAAACAATAAATCAAGACATTTTCCCAAGTCTACTTCCTAAAATGCTCTGACTGCTCACTTCTCTTCAAATCCTGTCCAGTCTACAAAGCCCAACATGATCTGACCTTTTCTTCTCTTGTACCATTCTTCTCACTGCCTTCTCTGACACTCAACTTGCCAAGTTTATTTCCTACCTTAGAGCCATTTCACTTGCTGTTGCCTCTGCTCAGCACGTACTTACAGACCTCAGCCTGCTGCATGACCTACTGTACCAATTTCCCAATCCACAGTTTGAAAAACAGTATTTTAGAGTAACTGCTGCATAATTCAAGTTAATGAAACAGAGAAAACTCACTTGATTATGAAAATTCTGATATGTTATTTTAAAACAATAAACACAAAGTCTTTTTACTCCATAGACAAACCTTTCAAGAGATTGGACTATTTATGGCTAAACTGCATTGTCTTGGTCATTCATCTACATGGCTAACTACTAGAAACAACGATGAATAAATCATACAATGGTCATAGAAACCTCATACCTTAATATTAGAAAACCATAAATCATTTTCATGTAAAGTGGCGAAGTAGACAGATGTAAGAAGTCCAATGCAAAGGGCAATAGCTCCACCAATAGTGAAAGACAGAATCTTCCATAATCTTCTGCTGGTATAACCTTTTAGAAAAATGAAACAGATAAATAGCTAAATCAGTAAAAAGTTTAGATTTTAATAGTTCTACTTCAGACTATCAAGTTAGCTAAGTTCCAGCTGCCTGTCATCAGTGAAGCTTCACCTGTCCCCAGCAGACAGTTAGGGGCTCCTTTCTGTGATTCCACAGACCTATTTTCATTCTTTTATTATAGTTTTTACCATACTGTAACTAACTGTTCATTTGTCCATTTTGCCAACCAGATTGTGAGTTTCTGAAGGACAAGTACATTATCTTACTTATTTTTAATACATACGGCCCATGTCTAGCATAGTTTAACAACTATAATTAAACTATGAAGTTTTTTTTTTTTTTTCCTTTTTTTTTTTTGTCTTTTTTTGTGTCCGGCAACGGATCGCAACCCTCAGTGTCGCGCCCGTACCGGACCAGGACCGGCAACGGGATCGCAACCCTCAGTGTTGCGACCGCACCTCGCTCAGCCAGTGAGCGGGAACCGGTCTGTATGTGGGATCTGAACCCTCGGCGGGAGCGCCACCGCGCTCCCAAGCGGCGCACTGTAGCAGTGCGCCACCAGGCCGGCCCTAAACTATGAAGTTTTTTAAAAAGGGGAGTAAATAGGTTATCTGTCTAGGATGTAAAAAATCTTTTAAATGATCTACTTAGAATTTGTAGTTTATTCATTGAAAGCTACCAAAAAACCTGAACACCAAGGAACAGGGAGTACAGGTCAGTCACCAAAAAAAAAAAAATCTTTGGGCTGGTTAGGTCAGTTGGTTAGAATGCCGCCTTGTAACACCAATGTAAAGGGTCTGGATTCCTGTACTGACAAGCTGCCAAAATATAAAAAAATAAATAAATAAAATTAAAAAAATTTAAAAACTACAGGAAATACAATCCCTCATAACTCAAGTTAAAGGACATATAAACTAGGAAAAGTATTTGTAACACATATAAGAAAGCTAAATATCCTTAATATAAGATGTATACTCTCAGGATAATAAAAAGAAAAAGATAAATATTCCAGTAGGAAACAGATGAGGGACATGAATGGGCAATGCATAAAAGAAAAAATGGCCAAACACATGACAGAACAAAAAATGTTCAAATTCATTATGTTAAAGAAATGCAAATCTAAACAATGAGCTATACTTTAAGAAAAATCTCGGCCAATTTGATAGCTTAAAAATGCTAATACTCTGTTTTGGTAAGGGTATAAAAACAGCCATCTTCAAACACTACTGTTAGAAGAAAAACTGGTACCTCTCTGGAATGCAACACTGCAATAGGCAATAAAAGCTACCAAAATGAACATAACATTTGACAAGTAATTCCAAACCTAAGCAAGGAAATAATTGAAGTTTTAAACAAACATTTGGCCACAGGGACATTTATCACAGTTCTGTTTGTATCAGTAAAAGGTTAGAAAACTATCTTCATATTCAACAAGGAATTAGCTAAATTACACTACAGATGCACAATGGAATCTATAAACTAAAAATATTTTCAAAATATATTGACTGACATGATATGTTTACAACATAATAAGAGAAAAATGGCAAGTTACAAAACAGCACGTAGATCCCAATTTTGTAAAACCACATATGAATGCTTAAGGGTATACTGTGCAGATCTAGGCAGCAGGACAAGGTGTCTTGTCATCTGTGATAGTCTCAGGATAGTGGGTTTGTGGGAGTATTTCTTCCTTTTTTTACTTTTCTTCAGTTTTCAGGGTTTTTTTCTAACATGAATAAATACTGCTTTGGTAAAATGAACAATCCCGAAGATTATTTACTTTTTTTCTAATGTTACATTTTAATTTAAACAAACAAACTTAAATTTGCATTGTATCGGGTCTTCAGAAACTGCTCCGTTTCTAATAGCTAATAGCTGAGCTGGGTGGCATGATCTCTCAATACAGACTATTTTTATGTTATTAAACTATTTCCCTGAATTACTTTACTACCTCTGGCTAGTAAGAATTACCATGCCTGCAAATAATGTAAATTCTGTCAGGTAACCAAAATGGCTGATAGGCATGAAATTTTTCACGCTTACTTTTAAAATCCTGACAATGTTTAGTAATGAAAGCAACTCAGGAGGCAAGAAGTTGGTAATGGGGCCGGCCCGGTGGCGCACTGGAGAGTGCGCCGCCTGAAAGTGCGGTGGCGCTCCCTCCGAGGGTTCGGATCCCATGTGGAGACCGGTTCCCGCTCACTGGTTGAGTGCGGTGTGGGCGCAACACAGAGGGTTGCAATCCCGTTGCCGGTCCCTGGTGTGGGCACGACACCGAGGGTTGCGATCCCGTTTCCGGTCAGTAAAAAAGACGGGAGAAAAAAAAAAAAAAAAAAGAAGGGGGTAATGAAGGACACCTGATGTATTTGCTTAGCAAGTCTTCAGCATTATATAAACAATTTACCAAGTTCTGATCACTTCTTTCCTACCTCTCCGAAAAGCAAAAGAGAACATTTTGGGAATTTAATTGAAAATAAAGAATAAAAAAATTTTGATTCATCTTTCAATACTTTAGCAACATTAGAAACATATCTAAGGTAAGGTTACCTAGTGTCAATAAAATACATAAACTAGAAAAACTAGAAATAGACAAAAGCTGAACAGCATTACTTTAGAGAGCCAAAAGGATCAGATTGGCATAACCATAAGCTAATCAACAGGCAACTGACACACAAGGCGTTCTGACCAAAGCTCTTTCATCTCTTATCTAATTTTAACTGTAAAATCAATATAATCAAGTTGTAATCAGAGTATCAGGGTAGTAGACAAGTTTCCTCAACTGTTAGCTCTTTCCAAATTTTTACCCTACTAGAGTGATATTTTAATATGCAGAACTAAAAGCAATCCAAAATGCTGTTTTAGTTTAAATCACCTACCAGATGGCAACTTATCTCCCAACTTCACATTTTCTCCCTGTGCTGGAAAATCCTCAGAAACTTCTGTGGTTTTTATTTCTTTTCTTTGCCGGATGGACATCATGATGTCAAAGACTTACATTCATTGTTCTTCCAAACCACTCCTACAAACACAGAAATAAACAGCCTACTTATTTGCCAGCACCCTCTCTCCTCAACACACCCTGTGTTCATCTGTGCCTAAGTGACTTGTGTCATTTTCGATTGTTTAGCATGCCCCTGCCCCCCATTTTCCCCTCCAAACCGTAATGAGCCTTCAAAGCTACACTCAAGACACAACACAAACATTTATTTAACTCAACCATATCTATGAAGCACCTGTTCTATAGCAGCACTGCCAGGAGTTGGGAATACAGGTGAGCAACAGACAAGCCTCTGCTCTTCTAACAGAGGAAGTCTTCTTTCTTTAGATGCTCTAGTCTCTGCTGATCTTGTCCCTCCCAGAGCCATAGCAGTTACCATACAATTTGTGATGTAACCATACAGTTTTATATTATTTTCTACAGTTCCAAAGGCAGTAGTAGGTCTTCTGAACCTCCCACAGAACTGACCACGTGGGAGGTAGTCAACAGTAAATTTGTTGGCAGCCAGATTTTGAAGAACCGAAATACTGTTTTGTTTCAGGTACCTGAATTTTAATACCAGTATGCTTCAAAACAACTCCTACTGTAAGCTTTAGGAATATGTCTCAGTGGTGATGACAACGGGGAGTGCCAATCAGGGCAGCTGCTATCCCAGGGAGCGACAGTGGGAGTAACCGCAAGGAGCAGGAGCCTGGTTTGGAAGCAGCAAGTGGGAGGCGGAGGAGTGGCGGCAGTGAGTAAGCTGGATCCAGTTCCCTAGAACATCTTGCTTCTCTCCTCTGGATAATGAACAGCGTTTCACTAATTATTTATTAAATATGACCAGTAGCCTGACATGATTGTTTCGACAGTTTATTAATTTCTAAAGGTAAACAACTTGCTCTATAGAACAGAACAAATCAACCAATATTATACAACTCATTTATTCATTCGCACAAAAAGATATGAGAAGGAAAACAGACTTTTAAGTGCTGAGCCTTCAAGCGCTGGAAACGGAGAAAAAGCTGGAGCAGTGAGGGAGAAAAGGAGTGTCAGCAAAGTCGTACAGACAGAAGCGGGCCTATCTCCCAAAGGACCTAACATTAGAGTTATGCCCTCTCTAAAGGGCAGAAAAGTTTTAAAAAGCCCACAATTCATACATTCTAACGTGTGAAGACAAAGTCAATCCGTATTTAAGTGCCAATTATGTATCCGGCACTGCCATAGTCCCACGAACCACGAAACAAAAGTTTCTTCATCAAATGAAAAGGAACGCTACCTTAAATGATTGAAAAGTCCCCAAAGCAATTCTGTATCAGTTAAGAACGACGAGTGTAGCACTGCGCATCCCCGGGGCGCGGCAGGGCACCGGGTCCGCTGACCAGCGCACCACACCCCACACAGCACCCGGCGTCGCCGTCGCATAGTTACCCGAGGAGACGGCGGCAGCAGCACAAGTTCAGGTTCTTGCGCCAGCTTACCCGGGGCAGCGAGTGGCCGCGGAGAACCGAGCCAAGCCCTCCCTCCGCCCGCTCAACCAACTGCGGGGAAGTCGCTCCGCAAACTTCCTCCTTCCTGAGCTCCAGCCCCTGACCCCGCATTTTCGGCGGACATTCGCGCACTCCGACTCCTCCGGGACACCCCGAGTACCGCGGCCGCGTCTCCCAGACGGCGCCACGCGGCGCGGCGAGACGGGCGTCCCGAGGAACTTCCGAACGCAGTGGCGGATTCCGCGAGACGCCCCTGAGCACGGAGTAGCAGGAGCCCACCCGCCCCTTGAGACCCTCGGGGCTCGCTGCTCAAGCGTGGCGCCCGCGTGTCCCCTGCGCCGCCCGCGGCCCGACGCGGAGCCACAGACCTGCGGCCTCAGCCGTCCTCACGCGCGGTTCCGGGAGGGGAAGAAAGCCGGCCCGGCGAGGCGGCACGGAGGACCGCGGGGGCGGGGTCGCACGACAGTCCAAAGCACGCTGCGGGTAAGGGAACGGCCACGCAACGGCGGAGCTTTGTGCGACACCCTGGAAATGAGGGGCTGGGGATTGTCCGCGGCCCTGGCGAAGGGGCGCGCCGGGAGGCCGGGACGCCGCGACGCCGCGGCCGCACTCATAGGTCCCAGGAGCCGTCCGTCAACCCTAGTCCCGCCCCGTCTCGTGCGGCGCCGGCCGGAAGGAAGCAGTACGCTTCCGCTCGCAGGGTCGGTCCAGCCTCTCAGCCGCTCCCGGGACCCGTGACAGAATCGCCAACGGCAACAGAATTGGGCGAGGCGCGGAGCCTGCTTAGCCTACGCACGGGTCACCCCGGGACAGAGCGAGAGGTACGGCTCGGGGGAGGAGGGGCCCGGTTGTCCCGAAGAAGGGTCGCCCCAGGTCAGGTCGGACGGTCGGGAGCAGCGGCCCTAGGGCGGCCCTGGGGCCATGGAGTGGGCTGTTCTTTTGAAAACTCTTACTTCCTGCGGGTCCTTTCTATGCCCCTGTGCTGTGCTGGTGGATGCGAAGGGTTCGGTAAGGGAGGGTATACGTACAGAAGTAGTCAGGACACTCGGACGTGTCCCAGCTTCCCGCGTTGCACGGCCTGGCACGCCCCTTTCCCGGGTTTTGGCACCCGCTCCCATCCCCCAATTGCCACTGATCTATGCTTGGAAATCATCTACTGACTGCCAGTGAGAGTACCCGCAGAGATACCTTCGCGTCCCCAAAGACTCCCCTTTGGTGTTGGTGCCCCGGGCACTGTTAGTTTTTTCTTTGAGAATCTGCTCCTCTGTGTTCTCACTCTCATATGTTATTCCGTCTCCAAACTAGATTGTAAGCCTTTTTTGAGGGCAGGTACTGTGCTGTACACCCGGATGTCTGTCTTAATTACACCGCGAAGAACAGCAGATAAAATCTTTCACTTGTCAGCATATATTCAAACTGCATGTTAATTGATTTTTTTTTTTTTTTTTTTTTTGCAGGGCAGGTACTGTGCTGTACACCCGGATGTCTGTCTTAATTACACCGCGAAGAACAGCAGATAAAATCTTTCACTTGTCAGCATATATTCAAACTGCATGTTAATTGATTTTTTTTTTTTTTTTTTTTGCAAGGAATGACCCTCTGGGCTTATGAAAAGGTGGCTCATCGTTCTAATTCCAACACGAAATTACTTCATCCAGGAAACCTTTTATAATCACTCCGACTGGATGTTTTTCTTCTCCTTTGTGTGTCTGTTGCTATTAATAACAAACACACATTCTGTGCAGTGGACTGAGGTATCTGGTAGGTGGCTTTAATAAAAATTTTAGCTGTTTTTTCAAATGGCATTTGTCATGTGTTATCGTGGCTATGGTGTCTTCTTTCATGTGGACTTGAGGGCAGGGACTGTATATAATCTTTCTCGCGTTAAGATGCCTTACATAAGATGCATTTGCATGCTCAATGAATATGTATGTAAATTGATTCCTCCTTAAGTATAATTTCCCAATTATCGAGTAGCATTTCTTCTTTAAATTGTCTCACTCGGGGCAAAAATGTGACCTTTGTGCAGCTGCTTGTTTTAATATTATGAAGTGGTTTTACTAAGCAAGGTGAAGCTTTGAGATTTTTTTAAAAAGAGATATTAAATGCTTTTATTTTCAATATTAAAAATATTGTTTCTTAATATCTTTAATGTTAAAACAGTGCTAATTTTAACAGAATGACAGAAAAAGAACCCAAGGTACAATCTACAGGGAAACCCATCCTGACCCCTCCCCCAACATCTGACTGGGCTCCAGTTGTGGGTGCCCAGCAGAGCTCCCAGTCGCACACACTCACACATGTGTGTGCAGGGAAAGGGGTTAGCTGGCCCAGGAGCAAGTACCAAAATAGATTTAGAAGTAACTATCCAGCCCAGGTGTTAGAAAAGTACTTTCTGCAAAGGAAAGGGGAAGGACAAAGTGGAGTGGAAGGTGGTACGGGCCAACCAGCCCCACCTGTCATCTTCAGACTCTTTGGTCCAAGTGCTGTGCCCACACCCCTGGGGCCGGCACTACTCCAGGCCCAGGGTTGGCTTGGACAGGATGGCAGGTCCCGCTGGAGCCCACAGGTTAGCTAGCAGGTGTGGGTCTATGTTAAGGTGCCAGACAGGAGCCAGGGATCTAGGACCCCAGCTGTGAGCAGGACAAGCAGTGGTTCTGGCCTTCCTCATATGATCAGGATAGCAGGCCTCATCTGCCAGGTTCCTCAGATTCTCAGATTCATTGGAAGAGCCCAGAAAATCCTTCACGTCCTCCACCGTGATTCCTGGTGTCCAGAGTGGCATCAGCATTGGTGGTCAAGTCGATGGACATGGGCAAGAGTGTGGCCTCAGGCAGCTCTGGGATGTCAGTTCCCTTGCTGTGGGCAGGATCCGGGCTTTTGTAGTGGCTCTATGGGGCCAGAATGATGCTTTGGTCCCATTAGCCTGGCTCGGCTTGGGCGACTCTCAGACCCTGTAGCTGGCCCAGTGGCATCACAGGGCCAGCTGATGTCCAGAGAACAGAGCGGCTCTGTGGTGTTCTGGGCACTTAGGAGAAGTGTTCAAATTTTGACAGGGAACTCAGATACAATCCCTGGATGTGGTGTGTGATGTCACGAGGTGATGCTGTTGATGTCCTCGTGGATACAGGAGTAGTTCACCTGGGACGACTGCAGGCCAGGCACTGAGAAGATGCGGACCTTGCCCAGGTTAGTGAGGTGGGTCAGGCAGGTCTCAGTATAGTCCTCACAGGACACACTGCCAAACGTGGCCAGTGCCAACTTGCACACGCGACAGCCCTTGTGGGTTAGCTTGAACTTGGTCTTGGCACTCACCTTGGGCAGCATGAACACCTTGAACTGCTCAGATGCAATGGGCACAGCATGACCTCCCTGCATGTCAGGTGCCTGTGCCAGATCCCACGAGGCCTCCTAGGGCTCAGGCAGCGGCTGGCTGTGCCTGTCTGGCATGGCAATGGTCACCACAGGCACCTGGTACATCAGCTGCACCTCTTCTCCCAGCACAGCCTCCACCTGCCGCTGGGGCTGCTTCTTGCCACCTGCTGCTGCTGTTGGCACCTCCAGCACATAGGCATACACAGAGACCTAGTTGGTGCCTATGCACATTGTGGGCCTGTGGTGGGCCGCATCTCAAAGGAACATGTCAGGGAAGTAGAGGCAGCACACGATGCCTGAATTGTTGGCAGAGCAGGGCTCGATGCAGTGCTGCATGGGCATCTCTACATTATGGGGATGGGTCTGCTCCGCTAGCTGTGCGTTGGCCTCCTGTAACATGCTGTTGGCCTTAGCAGCCGCTTCTTGCCAGAGATGCGGCTCTTGTGGATGCTCCAGAAAGACTGGTACAGTAACTTTTTGAGTGACTTCAATTGGGAGAGTGGCCCCACCATGGTCAGGGAGTCACTGGGGTGAAGGGTGCACCTGACCAGCACAGGTCTCTTGAGCTGGTAGTCGAAGAGGCCAAAGCCATAACTGGTGCCAAAGGCCACAGGGCTCCACTTGGTGTGGAATGTGAAGGCAGTGATGGTGGCTGGTGGCAGGCACTGCATTATCACACAGGTCTGGAAGCCAGCAGGCCAAGGCAGTGGCCCCATGCCTGGGGTTAGCCGCTCGTGGCCCTTCTACATGAAGCCCTCATGGTCCTGGAGGAAGTCCATGCCGGTCATGCTGATCACCTGCTCTGCTGATATGTCACTAAGCTCCAGCACCAGCCTAGGCCTGCAGTGCTGTGTATTTGCAGAGGGCAACCTTCTGCATGCTGAGCCAGGGATCTTTGCTGTAGGGGTCGAAGCAGCCCACCTTGTGGAAGGGTGGTCAGTCATCCTTGGCAGCCTGGGCTAGGCTGTCGGTGTGCTCACAGTCTGTCTGGAAGAGGCCAGCCATGCTTAGCTTATAGAGTGGCCACAGTGCACACCCAAGGCATTCCAGAACTACATGGTGCTGTCCTCATGGCCCAAGCAGCAGCAGCCCTTGCTGTGATGGCTCCTGTGCCAGGTTCTGGCCTCTGGTGATGGGCCAGCTTGAGGTTCTGGAGACAGGCTGGGGTTCTGCTGCTTGCTGGCACTCACAATGTGGGCCCACAGTTTGGCAGGGACGTTGGCAACGTGGACCGAGCAGGTGATAGCAGATGAGTGTGGCAGGGCCAGGTATGCGCCTGGCCAGCCAGAAGTCTGCAGGTCGAGCACCACCAGCTCCTCTTCTAGCAGCATAGCCAGGGCCGGAGGGTCATTAAAGTCATCCATGGGCTGCAGGCTGTGCACTGTGAAGAAGATGACGCGGGAGGTGAAGACCAGCAGCATCACCAGTGTCTTGGCTCACAGTATACACACAGTGGCAGTCGCCATAGCTGGTGTGGGGCATGCCACTGCCGAAGATGATAAAGTGGTCCCCGGATTCACAGTTCCACCACAGAATCTTGTTGATGGCCTTGCAGTTTGTGAAGAAGGCCATGTAGCAGCAATTGGCCTCTGGCCAACAACCAGCACCGCCTTGCCAGCCATGGGAATGAGCCAGCTTGGAAGTAGATCCACCAGCTGCAGGTCAGTCTTCAGGTGATGTCCTAAGATATACTTCCAGAATTGCCTGTCTATGCCACTCCCTTATGTCTGACACACAGACACTAGGAGGATAATAAATATTTATTGTTTTAAGCCACTAAATTTTGGAGTCATTTTGTTATCCAGTGATAGATAACCAATATGAAATAATAATTCCCCATATAGATGGCATTATTTATTCCCATCTAATTGGATGTTTAGGCTGTTTCAGATTTTATGCTATTAAAGCAATGCTATGTGAATGTACCTTATATTTATGTAATTCTTTAGGATATATTTCTAGAAATAGAATTGCTAGAACTCATATTCTAAATTGCAGTAAATGTTAGCATATGACATTCCAAAAAGGTTAAAAATTCTATTATTTTACACTTCCAACAATGTATATTACAGTGCTTATTTCTCCAGGCCCTTGCCGACAATGGATATTTTTAATTTTTGCCAATCTTATGTGACAAATATCATTATTTTATACGTATTTATTAGTGAGATGGAGACAAATAGATCAGGGGTTTATTGGCCGTTTGTATTTCTTTTTCTATGATTTGTCCTTTTGTGTTGTTTGGCCAGTTTATCTATTTAATCTTAATATGAAGGGATTATTTATAGATTATGAGTATTAATTAACATTTTGTCATATATGTTGCAGATACTCGCATGGTGATCTGGTATGGTGTCTTTTGCTATACAGAGAATTTCCATTTTTATATTGTCAAATCTGTTTCCTTTATAGCATCTGGGTTTTTAAAATTATGCTTAGAAAAAACTTCCTGGTCTCAAGATTGTAAATTTTTTTATACTTTCTTCTAGTATTTTAAAATATTCTATCTTTTTAATATGGGGGTGAGAGAGATCTGACACAATTTTTTTTTTCAAATTAGAGAGTCAATTATTTCACTATCATCCTTACCATACTAATTTGCATTACATGCACCACATACTCAGTTCCTAAATGTATATGGCCTATTTATAAACTAACTTATTATATTTAAATGATGAAAAAAAGAAATGGTCTTGCAACAGTTCTACATGTTTAAAATTACTGTTTCTTTGTAGAATGCTTTGCTACTTGGGAGAGCAATTGGTCCTTCATTATACTTCTGTTAAACACATATCTTAGCAATTTTTGAATATTTATTTGCTCAGATAAACTTTATAATCATTTACCAAGTTCCAAAAAAAGGATCCATGGAGATTTTTAATAGAATTGTATAAGATATATAGAAATGTTTGGGAGAAATGAGATCTTTACCATACTGAGTATTCCCTTACAGGAACATGTATTCAGTTTGGCCCACTACATATATTTTTCCAGCAGTACTTTCATCCAATTTATATTTCTCCATGTTGTCCACAAGGGTTGACTTTTCAAGTGTCTTGATAAAAGTCAGAACAGTAGTCTCCAAACTTTTATCAGACAAAAACTTTTGTCTTTTCTCTCTCTCTCGGTGTATGTATAAATATATATGTAACTAAAGTAACTACAAATGGAAATCTTAATTATTTTATGCCTGCACCCCATTGGATTGTTTTATACACTCCATGTGTATGGCTCCTGTCTGACCACAGAGATAGGGTGTGTCTATGGCACTCTTTTGAGACTGGCAGGGCTCACTTGGTTCTTTGGTGACCTACACTGAATCCTAGGGATCAGCTTTCTCAGTGCTCATGGATCATTCTAGAGTTGCATAGGAATTGACATTACACTGGATACCTCCTTACCTCCTTTAAAATATTTGTCAATAAATGGCTCCTTCCCTGT